GGCCGTTGCGCGACTTCTGAAAGTAGAGGGTGTCGAGTGGATAGCATGCTTCCCGTCCAACAATCTCATCGAAGAAGTGGCCAAGGAAGGCATCCGCACCATCATGTTTCGGCAGGAGCGTGGCGCCTTGATGGCCGCCGACGGATACAGCCGCATGCACGACCGCAACAAGTTCGGCGTGGTCATCACCCAGGGCGGCCCCGGCTCCGAGAACTCCATGGGCGGCTTGGCCCAGGCGTTCGGCGACAACGTGCCCATCCTCTACCTGCCCGGCGGCCCGGCGGTGAACCAGCACGATATTCGGCCCAATTTTTCCCCGGTGCGGACGTATCAGTCGGTATGCAAATACGGTGAGGTGCTCTGGAAGCCGGACATGGTGGGCAGCGTCATGCGGCGCGCTTTTCACCACCTGCGCAACGGGCGGTCGGGTCCGGTGATCGTCGAGATCCCCGGTGATGTCGGCACCGGCGAGGTGCCCGACGCCGTGGTGCAAAATTACCAGCCGCCCAAGCGCCACCTGCAGGCGCCGTCGGCGGGCGACGTGAAGGACGCCGTCAAGCTGTTATTGGGCGCCCGCAAGCCGCTCATCTGGTCCGGCATGGGCACGTTGATGGCGGAAGGCACTGAGGAGTTGCGGGAATTGGCCGAGCTGACGGAAGTGCCGGTCTACTGCACCATGCCCGGCAAGTCCGGCTTCGACGAGCGCCACCCGCTGGCTCTGGGCTCCGGCAGCGGCGCCACCGGCCTGCACGCGCGGCGCTGGATTCAGGAATCCGACGTGCTGCTTGCCCTCGGCTCCAGCATGACCCGCACCACCTACGGCCAGCCCATCCCGGACGGCAAGACGATCCTCCACAACACCGAAAGCATCGAGGACATCAACAAGGACTTTTCCGCTGCCGTCGGCCTGCCCGGCGATGCCCGCCTCGCCATCCGCATGCTCATCGACGAGGTGAAGGGGCAACTTGGGGAGAACGGCCGCAAGGGGCAGACCCAAGTCGCTGCCGAGATCGCCGAGGTGAAGCAGCAATGGATGTCCGAGTGGACCGACATCCTGCGCTCCGACGAGGTGCCGGTGACCGCCTACCGCATCATTGGCGAACTGGAACGCAACCTGGATAAAGACAACAGTATCGTCACTCACGACGCCGGCACGCCGCGCGACACCATCATGCCGTTCTACACGGCCACCGTGCCGCACAGCTACGTCGGCTGGGGCAAGACCACCCACCTCGGCTACGGCATCCCGCTGATGATCGGCGCGAAGCTCGCCAAGCCCGACAAGTTCTGCCTCAACTTCATGGGTGACGGCGCTTTCGGCATGTCCGGCCTGGATATCGAAACGTCCGTGCGGGCAGGCGCTCCCATCACCAGCATCGTGCTGAACAACGGCGACATGGCGACCTACCCCACCGGCTACCAAACGGCGCGTGAGGTATTCAACGTCACCTCCATGACGGGCGATTACGCCAAGATCGCCGAGGGTATGGGGGCCACCGGCATTACCGTCACGCAGCCCGACGAAGTGGCCGGCGCCCTGCAAAAGGCGCAGCAACTCAACGCCGAGGGCCGTACGGTGCTGCTGGACATCCATACCAACTTCGAGGTCCGCCGCTCGCGCTTTGACTGACGCCGTCGGTACCGAAAGCGGTGAGCCTGTTACCCGCACGGGCTATCTGTTCCCACCTTGAGAGTGGCGCATGCCGGAGGGCTTCACACGTCATGCTAACTCGACTAATCGTCAGGAATTTCAAACTCTTCGAGCAAGTGGACCTTGACCTCGGTCCTGTTGTTGTGCTGATCGGCCCGAATAATGCCGGCAAGACGACGGCGCTGCAGGCCTTGGCGCTGTGGGAGATCGGCGTCAAACGTTGGCTCGAAAAAAGGGGCCCTGGGGAGGGACCGCTGAAGCGGCCCGGCGTAACCATCAATCGGCGCGACTTGATTGCTCTGCCAGTACCTACCGCCAACTTGCTGTGGCGCGGCCTGCACACGCGCAGCAGCAGACGCGAAAACAACAAGACACGCACTGAAAATGTTCTGATCGACGTCGTTGTGAATGGCGTTGACTGGACCTGCGGCATGGAGTTTGACTATGCCAATTCGGAGTCGTTCTACTGCCGCCCTTTGCAGGGAGAAGGCGGCGAGCGTTTGCCGGTGCCCAAGCCGGCTGGCGAAGTAAGAGTTGCCTACCTGCCGCCGATGTCAGGGCTCGCCGCCAACGAGACGCGATTGGACCCCGGCGCGATTGACGTGCGCCTTGGCGAAGGACGTACGGCCGAGGTACTGCGCAACCTGTGCTACCACATATACGACGCCAAAGACGGCGGCGCCAAGTGGCAGCAACTCGTTAAGCGCATCGCCTCCCTGTTCGGCAGTCAGCTCGACGAACCGAAATACATCCCGGAGCGCGGCGAGATCACCCTCACCTATCGCAACCGGGATAACGTGCGCCTTGATCTGTCGGCAAGCGGGCGGGGCGAACAGCAGACTTTGTTGTTGCTGGCGCACATGACGGCAAACCCCGGTTCTGTGCTATTGCTTGACGAGCCGGACGCGCATCTGGAGATCCTCCGTCAGCGGCAGACTTATCACGTTCTGACTGAGGTGGCTGAAGAGACGCAAGGCCAGATTATTGCAGCGAGCCATTCTGAGGTGGTGCTCAATGAAGCTGCGCGACGCGACGTGTTAATCGCGTTCGTCGGACAACCGCATCGAATCGATGACCGGGGCAGCCAGCTTGCCAAGGCGCTCAAGGACATCGGCTTCGAGCACTACATGCAAGCCGAGATGCAAGGCTGGGTCCTTTATTTGGAAGGCTCCACCGACTTGGCGATCCTACAGGCCTTCGCAAAGCGCATGGATCATCCCGCACAGCATGTATTGGCTGCGCCGTTCGTTCATTACGTCGCCAACCAGCCCGTCAAAGCACGTGACCATTTCTACGGCGTCCGGGAAGGCAAGGGTGATCTGGTCGGCATCGCCATCTACGATCGTCTCGACACGCCGCCGGATGGCGATGCGAACCTGTCGCATCTGTGCTGGCGCCGTTGCGAGATTGAGAATTACCTCTGTCGCCGGGAGGCATTGCTCGCGTTTGCGGAATCGGAGGGCGCGCGACGTCTCGGCGGCCCGTTGGACCGTTTCGCTTCGCGGCAACCCATGGAAAACGCTATCGCCGAGATAGAGGGTGCGCTTGAGGTTTTGGGCGAGCCGACGCCTTGGGGGCCTGACGGCAAGGCAAGCGCCTTTCTGGATCAGGTGTTCAGGAGATTCTACGAGCAGTCAGAGGCTTCGGCGTTGATCAGAAAGTCGGGCTATCATCGATTGGTGGCCTTCGTCGACAACACGGACGTTGACACCGAGGTCGTCGAGAAACTGGACGCTATCGTCGAGGTTTCTGGACGTGCCGAGCCACGCGGTTATAACAAGATGTAGCGAAACGGTAAGATTTGAGCATCGGTCGTCAGTGCCCAAGTTTTCGCGGCAAGGAATTGACTTGCTGGCACAGAATCATCAATGCACAAACCGGAGACGCCCATGCTGAGCCCGGATCGCGTTGCCACCGCTCAAGCGTTTCTGGACGTCTCTGACCGGGAGTTCGAGGCCGGCGACCGGCTGCAGGCTTCGGAAAAGCTCTGGGGTGCCGCTTCCCATGCTGTCATGGCTGTTGCGCGTCATCGCGGCTGGGGCCACCGTACCCACCGTGACTTGAAAAACGCCGTGCAACAAAAAAAAAAAAAAAACCCACCCCCCCCCCCCACCCCCACACCCCCCCCCCCCCACCCCACCCCCACCACCCCCCCACCCAACCCCCCCAACCCAACCCACCCCCCCACCCCACCCCCCCCCCCAACCCCCCCCCCCCCCCCCCCCACCCACCCCCAACCCCACAAAAACAAAAAAACAAAACAAAAAAAACAAAAACAAAACAAACCAAAAAAACCACAAAACCAAAACAACAACCCAAAAAACACAACACAAAACAACAACAACAAACCAACAACCCACCACACCCCCCCAACCACAAACAACCCCACCACCCCCCCACACCCCCCACCCAAAAACAAAAAAAAACACCCTCGCACCATTATCCCCTCTTTACTATGCGTTGCACGCCGGTTTTCTGGCTGCCGAAAAGTTCCACAAAAACTTCTACCACGATGAGATGGAAGACTTTGAGATCGAAATCGACCGTCCATTGATCCATACCTTCGTCGCCCGCACCCTGGCCATGCTGGAATAGCCGCGTCTCCGCACAGTTCTACGGTCCTACCTCAGCGCCCCAGCGAAAAGAACGCCTCGTTGGGGCGCATGTTCGTCAGGTGGGCCAACCGGTTGGACATGGCGAAGAGCGCCGTGATGGCGCCGATGTCCCAGACATCCTCGTCGGAAAATCCCTCCCCGCGTAAGGTCTCAACGTCCGCTTCCTCAATCTGCTCGGGCCGGCGCGCCATTTTGACGGCGAAATTCAGCATGGCGCGCTGCCGCGCCGTGATGTCCGCTTGGCGATGGTTCACGGTGAGTTGGTCGGCCAGGATGGGGTTCTTCGCATAAATGCGCAGCACGGCGCCGTGCGCCACCACGCAGTACGGACAGCCGTTGGCGGCGCTGGTGGCCACCACAATCATCTCGCGCTCGGCCTTGGACAGGCCGCTGTCGCGCAGCATGAGGCGTCGTAGTAGGCGAAAAAGGCGCGGAATTCATCGGGGCGATGCGCCAGGACAAGAAAAACGTTGGGGATGAAGCCGGTTTTGGCCTGCACCTCGACGATGCGCGCTTGCAGGTCGACGGGCAGGTCTTCAAGTGCCGGTACCGGGTAGCGGCTGATCGGCTTTTCGGCCGCGGCGGGTTGCTGCTTGCGTTTTGGCGTTGTACGACTGGCCATGGCCCGTCCTTCGTGGGTGCGGGGTTGTCAGGGGTTGCGGAGGATACGTTTGTCCCCCGTGCGCAGCGTGATGCGCTGACCGTCGAAATGTTCCAGCAGCGGGATGGCGTACTTGCGGGATATTCTCCAGCATGTCCCGAAACTCGCCGGCGGTAATTTCCCGGTGTGCTTCGAGGTGGGCGCGCAGGCGCTGCTCGATTTGGTCCAGCGCCTCCTTGTGGTAGAACACGTCGCCCTTCAAGCGCACCAGCCGATTCTGGTCCACCAAAACTTGCAGCAGGGCGCGCGCGTCAGCGGGTTTGGAACTCTGCGCCGCCAGGGCTTCCTCGACGCTCGGTGGCTGGAAAGCGGCTTCCTGAAAGGTGTGTTCCAGGGCATCGAACAGCGCCTGCCGCTCGGGCGACAGCGTCACCGCATGGCTGGCCAGCTTCACCTTGTCGCGGCTGACGTCGAGCTCGCCGGTAGCGGTCAGGTCGCGCAGGATGGCGCTGAACACCTTGTCCGCCATGCGTGGAAACTTACTGCGCAGCTCCTCAGTGAACATGGCCGGCTTGAGCGGGTTGTGGTGGTGAAAGTCCTCCACCAGCCCTCGCATCTCGGCGCAGGCTTGGTTGTAACGTTCACGGTGCAGCAGCCACGGCGGGTTGTCGTCGATCGCCACGCCGATGCCCTGCTCGGTGACCTCGGCGATAACCTGGCGCAGCGCGTCGTCTTCCAGCGGGGTGCGTTGCACAAGCTCCGGCCATTGCAGGCCGGCGTACGCGGCGTTGAACAGGTGCACGGTCAGGACCTCGGCGTCGCTGCCGTCGCGCAGCACGTTGAGTTGGTCGACGACAGAACCTGCGGGCGATGGCGCCGGTGCCGCACGGCACGGCATCCAGAATGACGCCGCCGCCGATCGTTTGGACGGGGGAATAACTGCGAATCACGTAGCGGTCCCGCGCCGCGGCGACCGTCGGCTGTTCCAGGTGCAGTTGTGCGCACACCTCCTCGCCGGGCCGCATCTCGTCGCGGTCGAGCAGCATGACCGCCCCACCTGATCTCGCGTGGTGCCAATGACGGGGAAACCGCACGCGGGCAGCGTGCGTCTCGTGCGCGCGGCGCGTCGTCCAGAAGTTTCAGCGTCACGTCCAGCATGTAGGTGGTGGGAAAGCGCCCCGGCGTCGTCAGCACGTCGCCGCGCTGCAGGTCGTCCAGTTCGATGCCCTGCAGGTTGACGGCGGTTCGTTGTCCGGCGACCGCCTCGCTGACCGTCTGGCCGTGCGCCTGCAGGCCGCGCACCCGCGCCAGTTCGCGCTTCGGCAACACCTCCAGGCGATCCTCAAGACGCACGCTGCCCGAAAACAGGGTGCCCGTAACCACGGCGCCGAAACCGCGCATGGTGAACACACGCGGTCGATGGGCAGGCGAGCCGGGCCGCCGGAGGTGCGCGACTGAGCGACTCACAGGCGCCGCGCAGCGTTTGCAGGAGTACCTCCAGTCCCTCGCCGGTACGCGAGGATACCGGCACGATCGGCTTGCCTTCGAGAAACGTACCGCGCAGGAACTCGGCGGTGTCGTCGCGTACCAGTTCCAGCCACTCCGTCTCCACCATGTCCGTCTTGGTGAGCACCACCAAGCCCTCCTGCACTTGCAGCAGTTCGCAGATGGCGAGGTGCTCGCGCGTCTGCGGCATGACGCCCTCGTCGGCGGCGATGACCAGCAGCACGAGATCGATGCCGCCGACGCCCGCCAGCATGTTTTTGACGAAGCGCTCGTGTCCCGGCACGTCGACGATGCCCAACTGCACCTCGTCCGTCAGGTTGAGGAAGGCGAAGCCGAGGTCGATGGTGATCCCGCCGCGCTCCTTTTCCTCCTTGAGGCGGTCGGTGTCGATGTCGGTGAGGCTTGTAGGCTGGCTGGTCTTGCCGTGGTCGATGTGAGCCGGGCGGTGTGTCCGCAGAAGCGATTTGTTTGCATGTATGTCTGGAACCAGTTCGCTGTCGGGCGGCGGCGAGCGGTCTTCGGGACCTCGCGTTCCGCAACCGTGCGCAGGTCCAGCGCTAATGCTGAAACTTCTCCGTTCTTGCGCGCTGCGCGTCCCGATGATTTTGCGTCGATTGCCGGCGGCGGCAGCGCAGGCGCCGTTCGAGGCTGCTAACCGAACAGAAAGTCGGCTTGCAGCGCCAGCAGTCTGGTGGGCACACGACCGGCAAGAGCAGGCGCCGCCGCCGACGGCCGAGGTGCCGTCGATCACTTGCGGCCGGTAGGCGGCGTCGCTGCCGGCCGGCAACAGACGCCGCAGCCGTCGAATGCGCCGCGCGACGTCGCGCGGCGACAGGCCGAGCATCGCCAGGGTGGGAATCTGCCGCCGTGCCGTTTCCGGGTCGGCGTACAGCTTCAGTGTGGCTTCCAGCGCCGCCACCGTGAACTTGTCCACCCGCACGGCGCGGTGCATCGGATGGCGCCGCAATTGATCGACGTAGGCGGCCTTGCCCACCACGATGCCGGCCTGCGGCCCGCCCAGCAATTTGTCGCCGCTGAACGTCACCACGTCGACGCCGCCGGCGACCACCTCGTTAACGGTCGGCTCGTCGTGCAGGCCGTACGGTTGCAGATCGACCAGCGTGCCGCTGCCCAGGTCCTCCATGACCGGCAGGCCGTGCTCGCGGCCCAGCGCCACCAGCTCGCGCCGCGGCACCTCGGCGGTAAAGCCGACGATGCGGTAATTGCTGGTGTGCACCCGCAGTAGCAGCGCGGTGTCCGCCGAGATGCCGGCGGCGTAATCCCGCAGGTGGGTTTTGTTGGTGCTGCCGACCTCGCGCAGAACGGCGCCGCTGCTGCGCATGATGTCGGGGATGCGGAATGAGCCGCCGATTTCGATGAGCTGGCCGCGCGACACGATCACCTCGCTGCCCTTGGCCAGCGCCTGCAGGGCCAGGTACACCGCCGCGGCGTTGTTGTTGACCACCAGGGCGGCTTCGGCACCGGTGAGGGAGCGCAGGAGCCCTTCAAGGTGCCCGTAGCGGGTGCCGCGCTCGCCGAGTTCCACATCGTATTCGAGATTGCTGTATGCCGCGGCCACCGTCTGCATGTTGGCCACCGCCGAGTCGGCCAGCAGCGAGCGGCCGAGGTTGGTGTGCACGATGACCCCGGTGGCGTTGATGAGGGGCTGCAATTCGCGGCCTTGCGCGGCGCGTAGGATAGCCTCCACCTGCGATAGCACGGCTGACGCGCCGACGGGCAGGGCGGCCAGTGCGGTCTCCTCAGTGGTCTGCAGAATGCTGTGTCGGGTGGCTTCCAGCGCCTGGCGGACGGCGTCCGTCACGATTTGCCGCGACAATCGGGCCTGCCAGTGCTGCGCTTGCGGGGTACGCAGGAGTTCATCGACCGCCGGCAATCGGCGCAGATAGGGAAGGTGCACGTTGCCCATGGGTTCGGAAGGCATGGTCGAATCCTGTAAGCGCGTGTCGGTCGGGAAGCGAAGGCAGGCATTGTAGCGTTTAACAGGGTGGAACTCCAGCTATCCGAACGGTGCCATGATGGTCTGAAAACTCGCCTGAAACCACGTTTCAGTGGGGAAATTCGCGTTGACGCATTCTTGAGTGATTCATACAATTAGTTATGGGTGTTTCCTGACCAACCGCTGCCAAACACCCGACCCCACCGAAAAGAGGGACTTTCTCCCATGTCCAGAGCGTCGCCAGCTTCTACTCGATTGCAGAAGGTCATTGCGCAGGCCGGCTTGGCCTCGCGCCGCAAGGCCGAAGAGATGATTTCGCAGGGGCGTGTGCGCGTCAATGGCCGCTTGGTGACTGTGCTCGGCACGTCGGTTGATGCCAACGACGTCGTCGTGGTGGACGGCCGCCGACTGCGCCCGCGGGCGCCGATGCGCTACGTGATGCTGCACAAGCCGTCTGGGTGCGTCACCACCACCAATGACGAAAAGGGCCGCCCTACCGTGTTCGACCTGATGAAGTACAAGCCGGTGCGCCTGTTTCCGGTCGGCCGTCTGGACTTCAATACCGAAGGGTTGCTGCTGCTGACCAACGACGGCCCGCTGGCGAATCGCCTGCTGCACCCACGCTACGGCACGCCGCGCGTCTACCTGGTGCGCGTCAACGGCACGGTAGCCGAAAAGGACCTCGAAACCATGCGGCGCGGCGTCGACCTGCCCGACGGCAGGACCTCGCCCGCGCAGGTGTACGTGGTGCGGCGCTTTGAGAAGACCTGCTGGTTGCGGATAACTCTGCGCGACGGGAAAAATCGGCAGGTCCACCGCATGCTGGAACGTTGCGGCGGCTATGGTATTCGTAGGTTGCAACGCGTCGGTCTGGGCCCCCTGACCCTCGCCGGTCTCGCCCTGGGCCAGTTTCGCTTTCTCGAATCGTTTGAAGTGGACAAGTTGTACCAAGCCTGCGGCCTCGGCAAGGCAGCGTCATAAACGCCGGGATGGGGGAACACGGATGCGCAAGACGATGATCGGCCTGATCCTGCTGCTGTTGTCGGCATCGCCGAACGGCTTTGCTGCCCCCTCGTGGACCTATCAGGTTGAGGGCGTCGGGGCCATCGTGTCGGAGAACCAGGCGGCGGCGCGGCAGCAAGCGGTTCGTGCGGCATTGCGCGCGGCACTGGAAGAGGCCGTCCTGAGCGTGCTCGACACCGATGCGGTGGTGGCCAATATCCATTTGTTGAACGAGCGTTTATACGCCGAGCCGTGGCCGTACATCTCCAGCTACCGCGTGCTGTGGGAATACCCCGACGCCCCGGGCAAGGTCTACCGCGTCCGCCTGGAGGCAGAAGTCGCCTTGCCAAGGGTGCAGCAGGCGCTGGCGACGTTGGGTTCGTCGGTCGCTACGGTTGATCCGGGACGGCTGCCGGGAGGTGACGCCGGACGGTTGGCCATCCTGATTACGGAGCGTCACCTCGGCCAGGCAACGTCGACGTGGTGGGCCGAGCGCGGCGTCGTCACCCGAATGCTGCGCTCGCAGTTGGCGGAACTCGGTGTGCGCATCGGCGAGCTGGAGCCCGGTTTGCAGTGGGACGGCACCGAGGACGCGGCCTTACAAGCGGCGCGCGAGGCTGAGATCGCCATGCTGCTAGTCGGGCATGCCGGGGTTCAGCAGACCTACAATGCGGTGTCCGGTTCCGCCGTGCATGCCATTTTGCAACTGCGTGTCCTGGATACCCCCACGGGTGGCGTGCTGGCGCAGGAGCGGGGGGAGGCAAATGTGGATGATAACCATTCCGGGCAGGCCAGCGCCCTTGCCCTCGAAGAGGCAGCCCGCACGGTCGTGCCCCGGCTGATGCCCTTCTTGAGCGCTGCCCTGCAACCTGCCTCGACGGATTCGGTGACGACGCCCTAAACCCTGGGACACAGGCCTTACCTATGCAAAGCATGACCGGCTACGGCCGCAGCGACGTGCACGACGCCCGCCTGGCCCTGACCATCGAAGCCAGGTCGGTCAACCACCGCCATCTCGACATCGCCTGGCACTACCCTCGTGCTTACGCGCCCCTCGAAGCACGGATGAAACAACTCGTCAGTCAGCATTTTGCGCGCGGCCGTATCGACATTCGCATCACCCTGGACGAGAACGGCCATGCCGCCCGCACCGTGACGCCGGATTACGCCCTGGCCCAGCAGTACTACGAGGCGCTGCGGGAGTTGCAGTACCGCCTGGGGGTGCCGGGCACCGTCGACATGAGCCTGCTGATGGGCTTGCGCGACGTGCTTAGGGTCAGTGAGAACGTGCCGGCGGACGTGGAAGCCGACTGGCCGCTCATTGCCGCGGGGCTGGTGGCGGCACTGGATGCGCTCAAGGCCATGCGGCTGCAGGAAGGCGCCTTTCTGTGCGGGGATCTGAGCGCCCGCATGCAGGCGGTTGCCCAGCAACTGGATTTGATCCGCCAGCGCCTGCCGCAGGTGGTGACGGACCACCAGCAGCGTCTGGAACAGCGGGTCAAGGAATGGTTTGAACGCGTCGACCTGGACGCCGCACGCCTGGCGCAGGAAGCCGTCCTGTTTGCCGAGCGCGGCGACATCACCGAGGAGTTGACGCGGCTGGGGGCGCACTTGCAGGCCATGCAGGCGCTGTTGGCCTCCGGCGAGGCGGTGGGCCGCAAGGTCGATTTTCTGGTGCAGGAAATGCGCCGCGAGATCGAAACGATCGCCGCCAAGGCCAACGACCTGACGATTTCGCATTGCGTGGTGGAGATCAAAAGTGAGTTGGAGCGCTGCCGCGAGCAGATCCAGAACATCGAATAGCCGATGCGGGGTCGGGCCAGCCGGCTGCGCGTCACGGGACACCAGATGAGCCGCAAGGGAATCCTGTTCGTGATATCGGCGCCCTCCGGCGGCGGCAAGACATCGCTGTGCGAGGCACTGTGCGCCGCCATGGACGACGTGGTGCGATCCGTCTCCTGCACCACGCGCGCGCCGCGGGCGCAGGAACAGGATGGCCTCGACTATTACTTCATCAGTGCACAACAATTTGCCGAGCGCGTGGCTGCCGGGGATTTTCTGGAATGGGCCTGCGTGCACCGGCACCGCTACGGCACGCTGCGGCAGCCAATCGACGAGGCCACGGCTGCCGGCAAGGACGTCTTGCTGGTCATCGACGTGCAAGGCGCCGAACAATTGCGCCGCGCTGGCGTCGACGCGGTGCACGTCTTCGTGCTACCGCCCTCGTGGCAGGCGTTGGAAGAGCGGCTGGCGGGGCGCGAGTCCGGCACCAAAACAGCGCGCGCAAGGCTGGCAGTCGCCCGGCAGGAAAGCGCCCAGTACACGGCGTATGACTACGTGCTGATCAACGACTGCTTTGCCGAAGCGCTGGCGGCGCTGAAGGCCATCGTCCTCGCGGAGCGCCACCGTGTTCGGCGCGCTGATCCGGCGCCGATTCTGCAACTCCTGAACGGCGGTACGTAAGGCGGGAGTTTCAACCATGCTGCAGGCCAAAACCATCATGCTCGGCGTTGGCGGCGGACCGTTGACGTCGGCGGCCATCGAGGTGTTGCGCGCCCTGCAACGCGCCGGCGCCGGCGTGCGGGTCGTGCTCAGCGCCGGAACCGAAGCCTTTGTGCCGGCCCTGACCTTCCGCAGCCTCGCTGATGGCGACGTGCTCATGCCCGGCGACCTGTACGGTCGCATGGGCGCGCAGGACTTCCATTCCCTACACGCCTTGGTGCGAAATGCCGACGGCTTGGTGGTGGTGCCCGCAACCCCGGCGCTGATCGCCAAGGCGGCGACCGGCTGGGCCGATGAGGCCCTCGTGCGGGCGATGCTGCTGCACAACGGGCCGACGGTGTTCGCCTGCGCCGCGCGTGCCGCCGAGTATCAGCACCCGCTGGTGCGGCAGAACGTGCAGCGCTTGCGCGACGCCGGGGTGACCCTGTGCGACGCCGGGGTGTCGGAAACGAACGACTCTGCGGACGAGTTGGGCTGGAGCCTCGCTGCCGCAACCGTGGTCGAGGCCGTAGCCGCTTCGCTGCGGCAGACGACTGTCCTGAGCGGCAAGACGGTGATCGTCACCGCCGGCCCCACGCAAGAGCAGATCGATCCGGTACGCCACATCTCCAATGCTTCTTCCGGCAAGACCGGCTTCGCCATCGCCGAAGCGGCCCGACAGCGCGGTGCCGAAGTGGTGCTCATTACCGGCCCCACGCACTTGCAGGCGCCGGTTGGCGTCACCTGCGTCCCGGTACGCACGGCGGTGCAGCAAAAATATTGATGAAAAAAACAATGCGTGCAGACAAAAACGTCAACACCCATACAAAATGATTCAGAAAAAATGCACGACAAAAAACACACAAACAAAATACAAAAATAGCTCAAGAACACGCAAACAACAACAAATGAAAAAAAAAAAAATGCGCGACGCGGTGCGGGAGCATTTCGCAGCCGCCGACGTGGTCATCAAATCGGCGGCCGCCTGTGTCGGATTTCCGGCCCGCGACCGTTATCGCCGACAAGGTCAAGAAGGAGGACGCGACGCTGAGCATCGCGCTCGAACGCAACCCCGACATCCTGGCCGAACTGGGCGCGCCTCTGTAAAACTGGTTAAAGCGCCGTGCTGGTGGCTTCGGCCGCGAAACGCGCGACCTGC